GAGGGTATGCGTACTCGTTCGACAACTGTAGGCCTCTTTTTTGTCCCTAAACCTAAATTACAGTATTTTAAAATGTCATTTTATTACAGAGCCACCTCCTTTCTTAACACTCTTCCTTTTAAATGCAATATATCTTATTCTAATTTTAAAACCAAGTTAAAATTATATCTCAGAGAAAAGCAATAAATTCTGATTTTAACCATCACCTTGTAATTTTATAATGAATTTTAAAGTTTATTGTATTTTTAATGAATGTTACAATGTTTATCCAATATTTTATTTATTATATTGTTTTTGAACTTTGCCGTAATGAAGCTTTTACTTACTTGGATTCTTAATGTATTGTATATATTTTTATGTATTGTTTTTCTTTCGAGGGCCTCTTCAAGTCAGCTGTACTACTGTAGTGCAGCTGTTAGAGCTACCCTCGTGAAATAAAGTTGAAATAAAATAAAATAAAATAAAAGTATGAAAAATTACAAAAAATCACTCTGCACTATGAAATTGCCCTAAACTAAATCTCTATTACAATATTACTAACAACATCATCCTAATAAAACTATTAGTGTAGGCCTGTTCAATAGAGCACTGCATACAGAAAATATCATCTTCTGTTGTGTATTCATACCACCATCATTATTTAAAAAACTGCATTAAAGTCACTATAATTGTAAAGTATTCTTTATTTGGAGGGAATTTGTTTTAGTTTAGTTGGGTCTGGCAAAACCATAAGATACATTTAAGTTTGAATGTCCTACTAACACAATCGGAATTCAATATGGAGTATGTATACTTATCTTCACTAAAATCACTATTTATATTTTAAAATTAGTCCTTATATAAAGGGGATAATTTTCAGTTTTCTGTGTCTAAGGCCTATGTCTACAGTAGTAATGTATTATACAGTCAACTCTCCCAATACCGACCACCCAGAAAACCGGATTTAACGCAAAACCGGTCGTTTTTTAAAGTCCCAAAATCATTCCTATTCTTAGTGTATTAAAATACTTTCTGAAAACCGGATCTCCGAATTCCGGCCAAATTCTTAAGTCCGGAACAATAAAATTACCTTCTGAAAACCGGACGGCCAGTTTAAAACGATGATTTATTGACGAAATATGTTAAATAAATCATCGGAGACACATCGACTGGCTCCAAATAACAACTATCAATCACAAAACACCACATGTACGATCGTTAGTGTTGATCGTGTGACACGCCGATAGCGCATTAATTAATTAATTGCAATAAGCCTAGATTTCATTTGTTTAATAAACTGATTGTTTAATAAAGTTCATGAGTGTGTTTTCTTATTAAGGAACATATCCTTTTCTTACATTTTGCATTCATTCTCACGCTAGGGCAAACCAAACGGTCCCACGCTATCTTCATAAAAACAATTGCGCATGACACTTCGATTGTCACCTCTGACTGTTTTCTATTGGCTGACGCAGTTTAGGGGGCGCTGCATAAGTTAGCACTTATTTTTTGCATTTAGCGACCCAACAAGGTAAGGTTATGCCAGCGGCATCGAAAACCAATCAAGCGTGCAACCACGTTGAAATGAAGCAGATTATGGCGATCGAACGAAAAATAACACTGACACTTACTATAAATTACGATACACATTAAGTTGATTTGTGTAAATTTTTATTAATAATAGACTTCGACACAAAAAAATAGGTACGTACAACATAATGTAAAAATTAAGTAAAACATGAATTTTAAATGACGTTCTCAGGTCAGTAGGCCTACACAGTACACAGTACATGATGCAGTGTGGTGTAACTTTCTGCTGTACCTTGCTAGGCCTAGGCTTATTATTGACTCAGGGTCGGGGAACCAAGGTAGGTAAACGTTCTCTAAACCGGTCCGTCCGGAAAACCGGTCAAAGTGGACGGTCCGAAGGGTGGTCGGTATTGGGAGAGTTGACTGTAGTAGTATTGTTGAAAACAATGGAATTGAGAATTAATATTTATCAGAATTTTTAAAATACTTATGTCAATAATTTAGGCCTCTTAAATGATTTTACTGTTGGACAAGTTTTTTTAGCAATGATCAGAAATTCCGTTGTTGCACCAGTCTAGTGATAGACTAACGTTATTATAATATATTATCAGGAGGAATCAGTAAAACCAATGTTTGTAAACTTCTATTCTCAACACAAATAAAATATTTCTCATAAACTGTTCAACCTTTGTTTCATTTGAATACTGACAAGCTTTTTTTTTGGAGGAGAAATCATCATTGTTTGTTTGTATCTTGGTAGTCTGGCAAAAATATTGCTGTTAACGCTTTTATCAACCAGTGATAAGAGAACTGTTTCTATCTCAATTTTCAGTAGAAATTAATAAATAATAAATTAAATGGTTAGAAACTGATGTACAGTTACTGCATGCTATTATTTATTCTTCATATAAAGGATTTCTTTGAAATCAAGACATCAATTCCTGTACTTGTTTTAAGTAATTCTTTGAAATCCAGACATCAATTCCTGTACTTGTTCTAAGTAGGCAAACGTTCCATTAAAATATTACTAAAATCACCACTTGCATTACCATTACTCAATATATATAAAACTTGCACAAAACATCATCTTATGATGTGCATTGGCTAATGTTTTCATATTTTTAGCCCTATAACAAAATTGATTATAGAGAAATAGCATTAACATTACTATTTATTTTATTGTGGTCTTGGAGGGAAAAATTTTCATTTGAAATCTGGAGGTGGGGAAGGGAGAGGGTAAGTGAGGGGCAAGATAGAATTTTAGGGGGAAATATGTTTTCCCATAGACAGGAAATACAATTTAAGGTAAGAGCTAAGGGAAAATTAAAGCATTGCTGATATTGATGGTGATGAACGCCCTGGATAATGCCCTGCGTCAGCTTCACTAAAGCCAATGGTTGGGGTTGAGTGAGCCCCACTAATAATCATTGTGTCGGGTTACTATTGAGTGAGTTGAGTTTTATTGGACTTTTGTTTATTACTCCAAATAATTTATTGTGAAAATCTGAGATCTCCTATCTGACATAGCAATCTAGCCATTCTGCCTACTTTAGATATTATGTAGCAAAAGATATTCACAATTAAATGATTTAACTTCTGTTTCTTAGGCGATATTCAGAAAATCAACACTTCAGACTGAATTATGTGATGCACATAAGAATTATTGGTTATAAACCAAGTACGAACGTTGAACTATCGTTTATTTCTATTCTCATCTACACTGCACCGAACAACATTATGGGATTGCCACTCCAACAACTCTTTATATCGAGCCTTCTGATTGGTTATTTTATAAATTTTAGTCAAGGTAAGACGAAAAATGTTATTATATTGTCTATACAATTGATTTATGATTTAATATTTTCTAATAATCTACTTGACACGACTAAAAGGTTAATTGTAAACAATTGCAATGAATGTCCTGCTTCTTTCCTGGAATATATTAGAATGGTTCTAGCTATGACTGGAAAATAAGGTGTGTGCTGTCTAAGGCAGATTAACACAAAATCCTCAAAATCATGTTTGTGGTTGAGGTGAAAATGTTATGTCACCTTAAATGCCTAAAAATGTTATCCTCAGGCCAGCTGATTCTAATGAATTTTTTCCTACAGAAATTATCATGATTTCCTGATAGTTGGGCCATCTATTGTCCCCACTGGCTGGCCCTAGACCACATTGGCCCACACACTGACGATGCACTGAGATACAAATTCCATTTCAAGTACTGTTCCCTTGTTGGATATTCGAATTCCCCTCATTCCCCATTGGTCTGTGGTTGGCCTCTGCTTCAATCCCATTGCTGTCTCCTTGAGTTTCAACTGGAGGGCTGAAATGCAAGCTGCAAATAAACTAGGTTAATCGCGCTAAGTACTCAGTGGATGGCCGACCATTCAAGTAAATTTTAACTCAAATACCGTGAAACAAAACTACTCTGGAAGTAAATTTCTAAGGTCATCAAATGCAAATGAGGATCGCTTATCCTATCAATAGGTATCCCAATTTCAAATTCATTATTGTGAATTCTCTCTTCATTTAGTATGCAGAACTTACTGCACTGATCACTTTCCAGTTTAAATGAATGAAATCCAACATACCGTTCAAAAGTTATGGCCCATCAAAGTTGCCAAAAATGGGGGTCAAACGGTTAAAAAACGGCGTTTTTCATCAATTGCCATTTTGAGCATTTTTGGAGGGCCATAACTTCAAAAATAATCATAGAAAACATCTAATTTTCACCAATCTGGTAGATCACATAGGGTTTTATGTGTCTATTTTTTTGGGGACACTCTGCAATGTGGTTTTTAAAATAACGGCCCACGAGTATGGTCCCTCTGCATTTTTTGGCAATTTTTCGCAAATGTCTTAAAAATGTGCAAAATCTGCATTTTTTCAACGGCCTATATCTTCTTAACCACTGCATCAATCCACTTACTTTTTTTGCATTACAAAGAATGGTATATATACAGTATATGGCCAGGGTCTACCTCAAATGTATTATAACATACTTAAATTAAATAAGATAAACCCCTAAAATAAAAATATCGCCAAAACATTTTAAAATGCAAAATCGGCAATGTTTGAAAAGTAATAAAAATAGTGTAAAAATTGTATATGTTGTAACCTTTTGTCATTTATGTTATTTTTTGTTAATGTTTTACTATTTAAAGACTCACATAAATTAAATCAGTCAAATCAAGCTACATTAAAATTGGTTCAAAATTAGAAAATAAACAGGCATAATTTGCTTGAAATATGTCACATCCATCACAGGAGAAAAAATCATTAGCCAGGCCAAACTGCATCATCAGAGGAGATAGAATCATCAAACTCGATCTTTAAACTTTTGAAAACATCATCATCATCTGCAAAAACAATTAATATTATAAATTACATCTTCATCCATCATACATCTATCTAGCCTAGGCCTAATTAGCTAGGCATACTCGAGACTTATTTATTACTTACTTAAAACCACCAATAACTCTGTCTCTTATACACATCTAGATGTGTATAAGAGACAGTATCCTTTTCTTAAGGCGAGAAAGCGACCATTCGTGACACCGTAGATCAGTAATATTTAGGCCTAGCATTTAAATCATTTATCTATATTAGCGGGCTGTTAAAACCCACGTTAATGATATAAAATTAAGAACTAATGTACTAGTGATATTATAATTAGTAATTCAGTCAAAATACTTACCAATCTCGCTAGCAACTTGTTCGAATTCCATCCTTTCTTCCCGATGCTTTTTCTCTCGCTAACCGTATTTTTCTCGCTCCTTGGAAGCGATCTGAAAATACCATTGGCACAGTCCATTTTTCTGGAGGGTGTAAATTTTGCTAAATACGCTAAAACCCGTGTGGTTCTCAGTAGCGTTTATTTAACTTTCACCGGGTAGAAAATGGTTTAGACACCACTTTTTCTGAGGAATTACTTTCTCAGTTTACCGTATAAAACGTGTTATCGCTTAATATCCACGTACAATCAATAAATAAATAATGGTTTACGAAACAAAAATATAATTTAGCTTTAATTTAATACCAAATCCGTTAGACTTTGATCACGAAAAAAGTTTAAAAATACGATTCTTGTCACTTAAATTGATTTTTGCGGCGGATGAACACATCGATACCAAGCGAGTTATACATCAA